TCAGATTTAGAACCGCATTCGAGGACAAAATGGCACAAAGGAAGCTTAGCCGAACAGACGATAACCCACGAGACAAAACCATCATAGAGCTAAGGATAACACAGGTAGAGACACAATGAAACACAGACAAGAAGGAGTGACCATTCTATTTTGTCAGAGACACAGAACCAGCAACCTGGCGGATATACCACAATCTTAGGCAAGCACTTGGCTCCCCCCCCCCTTCCCCCCCCCCCAAAAAAAAAACTAGACCATAAATATAACCGAAGCTTGCTGGCAGCTTAGCTGGTCCAATTTGCAAATTTAGCTACCAGCAGCTGGTTAAACATGGTCAATTGTGTTTTTACTAGTAGTAACATGGACACTATCTTCGACACAGGCTGTTTTAGATTAAGCCTGTGTCCCATTTATAATTATCTTTTTCATGTTCTGTTCGATTCGACCTATATTTTCTGGTTGTCTTAGAACCAAATCCTGATCCTGTTGTGACCTAATCCTACCGTTGGTCTCATCACATTCTCCTCAGATCAATGGATACCAGATGAAGGTTTTCACAAATCCCTTTGTATCGACATGATACTTTTTTGTTTGTTTGTACGAGCTTCTAATATTCAAGATGTTTTATTTTGAATTTCTCTCCTCCCGGATTGTAGTCTGCAGGATTACCACCTCAAGGACGAGAATCAAATAGCTAAAAATCCCGGAGGGCCCGTTTAAACTGTATATCCATGTAGCATTGTAATATAAGTGCAGCACAAATCGATTACGAAGTAACAAATAGTCTAGTGTGGGTGGGTTTGTGTGTGGGATTACTCAAAAGTCAATATCAGTGATACACGCAGACGGTCACTCTCACACACACACACACAATCACGCACTCACACACACACACACACACACACACACACACACACACACATATATATATATATATATATATATATATATATATATATATATATATATATATATATATATATAAAGTGATACTTCTATATTTATTCAGGTCAATTTTTTTTTTAATTCCTATTTCCCGTTGAAATTTATATTTGCTATTGACTGAACAGTCTCTATTGCTCCCTGCTCCAACATGGTCGGCGAGAAGATTCATAGAACGGATTTCACAACATAAGAGCTATTCCAGCTTTATAAATAACAGACGAGCAAAAAGACAAGGATGGACTGGTTCCAACTGCTTAAATTAAGGAATAGATGTCCACTTTACACAAATGCAAGTTTCCATCGAGAAATGGCTCCCAGACATCGCTATAGTAAATCGTCGAGTCAGTTTATTAGATAACGTTGTGTTTGAACACTTTGAAAAAAAAAAAAAAAAAGAAAGAAAGAAAAGAAGAACAAAATAGAAAACATTGTTTTCTTTGAAAAAAAAATAATAATAATGCAGGTGAAAACCTGGATTTTCAGATTTAATTGACAGTCGTTAAAAAAAGCGCAACAGTTTAACGTGGACCGTGATCCGCGTTGCTCTTTGTCCAATACCAGACCAATTATAGCAGATAACACAACCAAACAGTGTCCAAATATAGCAGATAACACGACAAAACAGTCACCAAATATAGCAGATAACACGACAAAACAGTCACCAAATATAGCAGATAACACAACAAAACAGAGACCAAATAAAGCAGATAACACGACAAAACAGTGACTAAATATAGCAGATAACACGACAAAACAGTGACCAAATATAGCAGATAACACGACAAAACAGTCACCAAATATAGCAGATAACACGACAAAAACAGCGACCAAATAGAGCAGATAACACGACAAAACAGTGACCAAATATAGCATATAACACGACAAAACAGTGACCAAATATAGCAGATAACACGACAAAAACAGCGACCAAATAGAGCAGATAACACGACAAAACAGTGACCAAATATAGCAGAACACACGACAAAACATCGACCAAATATAGCAGATAACACGACAAAACAGTGACCAAATATAGCAGATAACACGACAAAAACAGCGACCAAATAGAGCAGATAACACGACAAAACAGTGACCAAATATAGCAGAAAACACGACAAAACAGCGACCAAATATAGCAGATAACACGACAAAAAAGTGACCAAATAGAGCAGATAACACCACAAAACAGTGACCAAATAGAGCAGATAACACCACAAAACAGTGATCAAATATAGCAGATAACACGACAAAACAGTGACCAAATAGAGCAGATAACACGGCAAAACAGTGTCAGCCATTGCGTTGATATTTGGACTAATAAATTACCAGGTACTGGTGACTGTTTCTTTTTCATTTGACACTTTTTATGTGGGTTTTTTTTTCCCCAAATACTTGTGGACAGCGGTTGGGATTTTTATTTGTGTCCTTCTCTTTTAAATCAAAGTTTATTTGGTGGGAGGGGGTCGTGGGAGTTTGCCATATATTCAGGGAGCGCTATATGAAAAAAAAAATTATTTGAAAACCACTGGGCTAGACAGAAAAAAAAATGAATTTTTTTTTTGTCTGTAATACAGTGATCAGGATTCGGCTGCACCGATCAGTTAGACAGAGTGGATGTCATTGTAAGGCTCTCTTCTGTGACACAGCAACGAATCATCGCTTTTTCAGGATTAGTTAGTTACACAGAACATAAAGTATTAGCAGATTCTCGTCTTGCACCAGTATTCGGTTATATTACAACAGATCAGCTAGAGAGACCGGAAGGTATTAGATTATTCTAGTCTTTGATTCATGACCAGCATTCGGTTGTATTACTACAGATCAGTTAGAGAGACCGGATTCTAGTCTTTGATTCATGACAAGCATTCGGTTGTACTACAACAGATCAGTTAGAGAGACCGGATTCTAGTCTTTGATTCATGACCAGCATTCGGTTGTATTACTACAGATCAGTTAGAGAGACCGGATTCTAGTCTTTGATTCATGACCAGCATTCGGTTGTACTTCAACAGATCAGTTAGACAGAACATAACATATTAGATGATTCTAGTCTGTGATACAGCCAGTGGTATTCGGTTGTACTACAACAGATCAGTTAGACAGAACATAACGTATTAGATGATTCTAGTCTGTAATACAGCCAATAGTATTCGGTTGTACTACAACAGATCAGTTAGACAGAACATAACGTATTAGATGATTCTAGTCTGTGATACAGCCAGTAGTATTCGGTTGTACTACAACAGATCAGTTAGACAGAACGGAAAGTATTAGATGATTCTAGTCTGTAATACAGCCAGTAGTATTCGGTTGTACTACAACAGATCAGTTAGACAGAACGGAAAGTATTAGATGATTCTAGTCTGTGATACATCCAGTCTGTGATACAGCCAGTAGTATTCGGTTGTACTACAACATATCAGTTAGACAGAACGGAAAGTATTAGATGATTCTAGTCTGTAATACAGCCAGTAGTATTCGGTTGTACTACAACAGATCAGTTAGACAGAACGGAAAGTATTAGATGATTCTAGTCTGTGATACATCCAGTCTGTGATACAGCCAGTAGTATTCGGTTGTACTACAACAGATCAGTTAGACAGAACGGAAAGTATTAGATGATTCTAGTCTGTGATACAGCCAGTAGTATTCGGTTGTACTACAATAGATCAGTTAGACAGAACGGAAAGTATTAGATGATTCTAGTCTGTGATACAGCCAGTCTGTGATACAGCCAGTAGTATTCGGTTGTACTACAACAGATCCGTTAGACAGAACGGAAAGTATTAGATGATTATGGTCTGTGATTCAGTGACCAGTGGTCAGCAGCAAGTTTTCCTTCTACAAGCCAGGACATCGATCGAGATGACGCAAATTACAGACGAGTGTCGGAAAATTTGAACAAGGCAGAGAAAGATCTAAAGAAACTAAAAGTCATGTCATTTCACTAAGACATCATGGTAACGACAAAGTAGGTAAAATAAAAGTGGGTAAAAGTCAAAGACCCTTTTTCCCGCCAGTGGCGCATCGGAAATATGATTGTAGACTAACAATTGATATAGACAAATCGGCACTATATGGGGCACTTGATGGAAGTCAGTGGAACAATCGATGGGACACTCGATGGGGCACTCGATTGGGTACTCGATTGGGCACTCGATTGGGCACTCGTTGGGACACTCGATGGGGTTCTCAATGGAACAAACAATGGAACACTCGATGGGACACTCAATGGGACACTCGATGGGTGATGCGGACAACATCACTCAGGCCGCTATCACTCATCAAGACCTTACATGGTACCCATTTTATGCTGGGTCCCCCCGGAAGCAAATATCGGTTTTAAAAAAAATGCGACTTGATGTAGACTTCAACCCAAGACCTTCAGGAAGTAAACGTGAAGTGTAGCTTTAAATGCATTGAGGCAGTAGTGGGTGTTTGTTGCTGGTCATACATTTTATATACAAGTCTGTTCTCGATGGTTCAATATTTGGTCAACCAACATGGATTCGTAGAAACTTTCCTAATATTTGGCTCGACCTCGGAATCCATTCATTTAAGGCTGGACTGAACTGAAAAACCAAGACCACGTCGACAGTTTAAAGGGTTTCGTTTATATTTCATTTGGCCGGCGATGAAATTGTAAACTTAATAGTTTGCCTTGTTTATTCGTTTGTCAGTATATTTTTGAAACGATAGTAACAACGCTTGGAGTGGTTTTTTTTTTTCATTGTGGGAAGAAAGTTCATTAGATATGCAGTACACGCCATTGTAGCACTAACCCTAGCATACCCCACCCTCCTCCCGCTTTTTGGTTTTACTACGTAATTTTACGGTCAGTAGTATCACCAGGTAATGATTTGAGAAGCAGAAGAGGCCAATATGATGTGACCACATCATCCATCGAGTGCAGATTAATCATTAAAAGAGAAAAACAGTCTAGAATAAAATGTTGATGGGTTTCTGACTTTAAATTGTCTTTACTTACTAACATTATTCTAAAATCTTTAGTTTCAAACTGCTTTAATACATTTTTTATCAGACACGGGCGACAACAGTTTGGCGGAGCAGCCTATGATTATGGACAACCCAGACAAGATCAGTCACAACGAAGGCGATGTCGCTGTTCTCTATTGCTCTGTGCTAAACCTCGGAGAGAGTACAGTAAAATCATTTCTTATCTAATATTTACTTTCTTGTAGTATAATGGGAGTGCTGAGGTAGCGACTAACGGTTATGAACATCGGGTTCGATTCTTCAGTAAAGTCATGAATTTTTGTTTTCTGAAGGCGGAAAAAAAAAAAGAGTGACACCCTAACCTGCTGAGTCTGTGAAGACTGCACTAGTAGTGCGGTTCTAAACCTTCAGGCTCAAAGACGTCCACGACAAAAGTGGTAAATACAGGCAGCGATCTGCTATACACTTGACTGCCATTTCAAACTTCTATTGAGACCAACGTCCACCACAACAAAAGTGGTAAATACAGGCAGCGATCTGCTATACACTTGACTGCCATTTCAAACTTCTATTGAGACCAACGTCCACCACAACAAAAGTGGTAAATACAGGCAGCGATCTGCTATACACTTGACTGCCATTTCAAACTTCTATTGAGACCAACGTCCACGACAAAAGTGGTAAATACAGGCAGCGATCTGCTATACACTTGACTGCCATTTCAAACTTCTATTGAGACGAACTCTTAATTAAAAAGATCCTGTGTAAAAAGAAACTGCCTTGGAAGTTGCTTATATTGGGCAATCGGTTTATACAAATATGTATGTAGCACTATACATCCTTGGTGTAGTGGCTAGACGATCTCATGCGAATTCAAAAGTCGTGAGTTAGAATTCGTAAGGAGCCTGGCGTTCTTCAAAACTAACCTTGGCTCCCCGGTCGACACAGCCTTCAATGAGTACCAGGTAAAGTCCTGGGAAGTAACGGCGGCCGGTGTGATGTTAACCACAGCACCCACCGAGTGACGATCGGTTCATAAAATAAATGCCCAATTTACATTTTATGTCTTTGTTAAAGTGTTATGTGTCCTTATCTTTCTCTGCACATTTTGTGTAGTTAACTGTGTTTGATAATGTCGTCATGCTTGTATTTTTCCACGAAGTCGTAATTTTGGGATCCATGAACGTTAAGATAACTTGAAGTATAATAATTTTCAAATTAAAATATGAAAAGATTTCGGATACAAACTTGCTACTACAAAAAAAAAAAAATAAAAAAATAAAAAAAAAAAAAAAAAAAATGAGGGAAATGTTCTTATAAAGCCCATGTTCTTATTATAAAAGACTTTTCCTTATGTCAGATGTTACACTCACCACTGTCGCGTGAGCTGTGCGTCCCACGTCTCTTTCATCATCGTCATCTTTCGGGACTAATCGGCACTTGTGGGTGATGTGGTCAGCATCCCGCTGGTAGCCTTTACTTCCCAAAACTGTACTGGTACCCACTTAAGGCTAAGGTCATTTAAACAAAACATGTCCGGCTTAGTCAGGACCCAAACCCACGACCTTATAATCCGCAGTCAAACGTTCAGCCGCTTCACCACGGTAAGTCTCTACAATGGACGTAGGCATCAGTAAATATGTTCACCCCCCCCCCTTTTTTTCCCCTTTCCGCTGTCTTTGGACAAATTGTATCGTGAGACCCCAATCTGTACGAAAAACCACGAGAGCGGTTCATAAAGTTCACTGGACTCCATTAATCCCCCAACGGTTTAGTGTAAATAATATCATTTTAACTAACATCAGGATCGAACCAAGTAAGTGATGAACACACACCACAAATACATTCAAGAGAACAATAACTGATGTTTGCCCCTACAGGTAATCAGAAATAGCTGATATTTTCTGACATTTCTAGAAATATATAATACATTCACGGCATGAAATTCCTCCAAAAAAAAAAAAAAAATCTCGTTTTTTATCCACTTTTCTTCTTTTTTTAAACCACTCTGTTGTGTTCTTTGTGAAACTTCTGTATTTTTTGTGTGTTGTCTCGTCCTTGTGCATTATTTAAATATGCATGTTTTGCGTGCTATTATTTGCCGCAAGGAATGTATGTATTAAAGTAATGTGGGCAATTTCTGTACATCAAGAGATAGGCGGGAGCAGTTTCGTGCATAGACAATGAGCCCGGAATCTTGCAATCGCCAGGCAATAACTTGCGGTAACAGGAGTCTCCACTGAGACAGTTTTAGAGGGCCCAAGAAATGTCTGAGCTGGCCAACTAAGATTCGGGTCAATTAAGACAAAACGACTGGCGGATTCTCTCGAAAATAACACGGATACATACATAGATAATTCAGTAATCAATGCCTCGTGGTCTGTGTAATGCTCTCATTTCGGAGGCAAATGGAAGCACGCTCAAAATGTTACTGTCCATTAGTGGGTGGTAGACTGACATAGGGGATAAGAATGGGAAAGGGTAGCAGTAGGGTTGTTTCATTTGCAACGAATAATTTACAACATTTGTTGTTCGACATGTACTTTTAAATCTGTGCCAGGTCTTCACTGGATAAACTTGTTCTCCTCATGGTTGGCGTAATATTGGTGTTACATTTCATTACATTACTTACTTCGTGTTTGCTGTTGGTCCGTTTGTATAACATTTAAATTAATAATTTTCCCGTTGTGTTCCTTAATTCCTGATAATGTTTTTAACTACAGTACAATTTGTTTTCTGGGACATTTCTAAAATGCTGCTTGTTTTTTGCAAGAATGTAATCCAGTAAAATGCTGGCGTTGTTTCCTCAAACCGTTAAATGAAAAATTTATGTCATTAAACAGCAAAAATTATGAAGAACAAATTTTGTCCAACGGGTTTTTAATATTTAACTTTAACAACAAGACATAATGAAGCAATGTTAACATTTGACTTCAACATCCGGACATATGAAGCAATTCTCTAAGTGCTCACAGGGCAGACAAGGGACTTCTCCAGGCGATATCTATCGATCATAGACAGTTATAATAGCACCAGCCATACTCCTGTCTAGTTAATGAAAAGTGACTGGTCGGGCATACAAATTACGTGCCACCAAATTCTTTTTTGGATTTATCGGGGCAAATAAAGTCTAAAAGCTGTCATTATTATTAGAAATGATAATCATATATATTAAGCAGCTTCAGTATCCCACACGAATCAGCACGGCTTAGAAGAAGGGATAAGAAAACGTGAAATAAAACACCTGATGAGTTCCCGACACTGACATGAAAACAACCAACCTTGACTAATTTTGGGGCGTTGAACGCGAAAACGACATCAAAACTGAGTGACTGGCTTTTGTTTAGCAGACTAGGAGATGGTCATGAATTAACTACTCAGTCTGCGTATATTACTAATTTAGGCATTTCGAAACGCCGTGTTTTCAACTGCAGAATGCAACATGTTGTGTGAACTGCATCACCCAAAAATACACACTAAATGGAAAAGTATTTTTTCTTTTCATCTTTTTCTGCATTCCGAGCCCTTGGGGGTTCATTGCTGTCGTCATCACTAGCCTCCACTCATCTCTTTTGTTGGCCTTTTCTTTCCAGTTGGCGACAGCAAATTTTTGTAAGTCTGTCTTGATATTATCTCTCCATAGAGTTCTTGGTCTGTCTCATGGTCTACAACCATTCAGCTCCCTTGTATACATAGATTTTACCTCTCTGTCATCTCACATTCTCTTAATATACCCCAGCCATTTCAATCTGTTAGCCCTAACGATGCCAGGGATCAATTTCTAAGTAATTTCATCCATGCGGCTTTTAACCAGCAATAATGATGCCTCTAAAGTGTGTTAACAGTGCAATTAACGTGTTTGTTGTATTTGCGGGGAGGTGACATTTGCACGCCAGAAACAAGTCATCACTGCAGTATTGAAATAATGCACGTGACTGCTATTTCAGATGCAAGATTAGGAACCAGGACAAGGTCTGTGCCCAATTATATTCTGCAGCACCTGTTTAAGAAAATGTATAAAGTGGATGAAAGAAGACAATGTGTCGATGCAGTGCCGATAGTTTTGAGAGACCCCAGTAATCACGTAAATGGCTTTTTTTGGGGTATGGTTCCACTTGTTCCACAACGGGAAAAAATGGATTATAATATGCCTCCATTTGCAAGCTGCTTTGTAGCTAGCTTTTAAATGTTGACAGCTTCATTTCTTGGGAATGTTACAGCTCAAAAACACAAGGAACTGGTTGAGGGCATGGCTCAGCTTCACGTTTTTGGCAGCAGTGCGTCTTTAAAAATCCACTTTCTCCAATCTAGCTTAGGTTTCTTCCCCAATGCCTGTGGTATGGTTAGTGGTGAGAAAGTGTTTTCACCAGGGCCTTATACAATGTAGAAACGAGACCAAGGAACCTGAAATATAATATAGTTCACCAAGAAGAGAAAGTCAGTTTCATCATTTCACTGTCAGTCTCACCCATAAAATCATTCTAAAAAATGTGTTAAGTTCCCTAGTCAAGTATTTCACGGTACCAATCACCTGCGAGTATGCGAAGCACCTGGAGCTTGAGAGAACGCAGCCAATGGGGTCCTGTTCCCAGTACATTTGCTCTGGCGGCTGTGTGGCAGTTTAGTAGTCTACTGGAAGTGCAGTACCTAGTCGGCGAAAGTAGCATCAAGATAAACCAGCAGTTGTACACACATAGCTACATAAAGCACTGCTATTATGTGAGACAATTCGCCACCAGTCTTGTGATAATTAGGGGGCTAGAGGTTCCGGGTTCAATCTCCTGTAAGGGCTGGGATTTTTTTTTTTACGTGGACTTGAACTTCTAATAATTCCCTCTGGTCTCTAGGTAGTGAGATCGGACGCCCGTGTGTATTGTTGCGTATGTTAAAACAAATCCCTTGGCAGTTGGAAATAGAAAAGAGTAGCCTAACGGCGCTGCCCGGGCAAAATTTAGAGTTAGAAAGTATTTCAGGATCCCCACCAGTGTTACGAAGCCTTCGCACTGTGTTGAGCTTCTTCGGACTCAGACTTGAGTTAGAAGAAGAACGGAGCACTTATGGGTTACTACCCGTGTACCATGATGTTGATCCGTTGTTCAAATTTCAATATTCATATGATATTAAAGAAAATCTTTATAATCGAAATGTTTTTGACAGAAAATAAAAATTGTTTTCTGAAGGAACCATGCAACATTTTAGATGTGATATTTTTTTGAGTTTATTAGTGGTTTATACTTCGTGTTACACCCTTTTTCTTGTTGTGAATCAACCATTTTCAGTTCATAATAATTCCTTTGACTTCGTGAACCGTTTATATTTCACACTATTTGCATTGGGTTAATCAGCCATTTATACTTCACATTAGATGTCTTGGGTTGATCAACCATTTGTATTTCACATTATTTGGACTTCGGTTCATCAACAGTTTTTTCTTCTTCTCCAAACACTAGTTGATTTAGGCTGATCACATGTCACACCCCTTTCCAACCCCCAGGTAACCTGGCGAAAGATGCCCAGCTCCGCTCCCTTGACGATAGGCACCAAATCCTGGGTCCGAGACACGAGGGTGCAAGCCGAGCACGTACCATATAGTTCCCACTGGAATCTGGTCATTGAGCATGTTCGTGCCCAGGACGCGGGCGAGTACGAGTGTCAGGTCAACAGGAGAAAGCCACAACTGAGACATAAAGTTACTCTTCTGGTCAAAGGTCAGCTTTGTGTGTAAGTGTGTGTGTGTATGTGTGCGTGTGTTGTTTATGTAGTTGTGGGGGTGGGATGGAGGGATGGTGAGAAAGGGTAACGGGGGAGGGTTTGCTGTGGATAGGTGGTCAAACCACTTGCCTCTCGCACGGAATCTTTTTAATGCGTTTTACGGACTACGGGAAGTAAAGGCGGCAGGCGTGATGCTGACCCTATCACCAATCTTGTGTCGATTGGTCGATACAAATATAGATCTAGACCTATATGTCCTATACGCCTAAAAGCGTGGAAAAGGGTCCTTTACTTTTTTTTACGGACTTCATAGTTCGGTTAACAAGTCCAATTATTTACGAAGATCTATGTAGATCGTCTCTGTAGCTACACAGTTCGTACTATGTGTTACGCTTTTTTATTGTTATACTTTTTGTTTTCTATGGACTCTGTGTGACGCTTTTACCTTACGCCGATTGACCATTGTCAACGCCTTATTCTTGTAGTCTGAACAAGATACCCAGTCATCACTTGTAAACCAAATGGTAGATGACTTTTTTTCCCCGCCAGGAAACCATTAGGCCTATCAGGTGCTAGTGCGCCCCCTCCCCCCTTTTTTGTACACCAGTTTGCTCTTGATGAGTGTTTTAGTACATATAAACCGCATTTACTTCCCACAAAATATCCTGATATCAATTTAAACTGGGTCGACGTGGGAAATTTAAGGCTGAGACAAGGACATTTATGTATTCGATTCGATGAGATTTCGAATCCTCGATCTTTGGGAGCGCTCCTAGCTGCTACAGCTCTGAGTCAGCTCTTCACTGGTATAACAGAATTCGCTATTGGTCAGTATCTAAAAATGATGCCTTCTCAGCGTAGGGTTAGTTGAGCTGCCTTCTTCGTGTAGAATGAACTGTAATGCCTACGTGGTGTAGAATGAACTTTAATGCCTACGTGGTGTAGAATGAACTTTAATGCCTACGTGGTGTAGAATGAACTTTAATGCCTACGTGGTGTAGAATGAACTCTAATGCCTACGTGGTGTAGAATGAACTGTAATATTAACTATAATGCCTACGTTTTGTAGAAAACTCTAATGCCTACGTGGTGTAGAATGAACTGTAATATTAACTATAATGCCTACGTTTTGTAGAAAACTATAATGCCTACGTGGTGTAGAATGAACTGTAATATTAACTATAATGCCTACGTTTTGTAGAAAACTATAATGCCTACGTGGTGTTGAATGAACTGTAATGCCTACATGGTGCAGACAGAATTATGATGCCTTCTTAGTGAAGGATTCCCTGTGTGGGTTCTGGGGCCCCATTGTTGGGAAAACAAAAACAGACCCTCTGCCTGCCCAAAAGCATGTCGTAACAGTCTACTAATTGGGAGCTTTCTTCTAGTCGGACTACATCTACCTGAGAGACAAGGAACCAACAGTCTGCATGCAAAAAAGTCAGACCTGTGAAACGGTTGTGCATGCAACCCTCAGTTTCTTCACAACCCTGGAGTCCAGAAGTGGGTGAACAACCAGATCTTTCAACCAGAGTTTACCGCCGGTGAACGCTAAAAACAAGTAGAAGTGTAGAAGGAATTGTAATGCATATTTAGTGTAGGATGAATTCTGATGTTTACTTGGTGCAGGAGTCATGGGAAGTCAAAGCGGCCAGCGTAATGCTGACAACATTGCCCACTGTGCTGACTGGTCTATAAAACTATAGGTTTAGCCCTATATTCCCAATACGCCTAAAGGCTTGGTAAAGGGATCTTTACTCTACTTTACATGCGATCAGTTATAATGCCTAATTAGTGTAGGATCAATAGAACGCCTATTTAGTGTAGGATGAATTATGCTGACTAGTTAATGTAGAATCAGTTATGATGCCTACTTAGTGTAGGATCAATTATCATGCCTACTTAGTGTAGGATCGGTTATGATGCGTAATTAGTATAGAATGAATTATGACCCCTTTTTAGTGTAGGATCAGTTATGATACCTACTTATTGTAGGATGTAATGTAGGATCCCAAGTATTAGGACAGCTAGCCCCCCTCTTATAGCATAAGACAATCCCAATCAGCACAAAGAGACATCTTATTCAAAGCATATTTATTCCAACTCTGTGCTACCAGTGCCAGACATGGTCACTCACAACAAACCATAAAAGAAAATTAGTAACCATGGAAATGAGATGTTTGAGAAGGGCTGTAGGAGTGACAATAAGAGATAAGATCAGGTATGAGATCATAAGAGAAAAAGTCGGCACAGAACCAATTCTAAATTACATACGAAGACAGCAAGTGAAATGGTTTGCCCACTTAGAGAGAATGCCTTGTGACACCATACCATACAAAGCATACATGGAAAGAAAAGAAGGACGTATAGCAATAGGTAGACCAAGAACAATATGGAAGGATAACATCAGAGACACTCTACAACAGCACGATGTGCCTATGGTCGAGGCGGCCAGAAGAGCTAGAAACAGAACCTTGTATCTCCCTCGACACCCACAGCGGTAAAAGAGGAAGTGAAGAAGAAGAAGAAGAAGAAAGGAATTTAGGATCAATGAGGATGCCTGCCAAGAATGAAAAATGATGCATTCTTGTTGTAGAATAAGTTAAAAGAAAGTAAGAGTAGAATAGCCACATTACGTATAATAATAGAGCAAAGCATTGCATTGAATTCACCACTTTATATTGGATTTATAGACTATGGAAAAGCTTTGACAGCATTGACAGGGAATCTCTCTAGAAATTAATAGAGTACTATAAAATCCCACAGAAAATTATTAACTTAGTAAAGGCAACATGCAAAGACATGAAATGTCGAGTTCTTCATGAGGGTAAACTAAAAGATACATTTGAAATAAAAACAAGTGTGCGGCAGGGGTATGTTTTGTTGCCTCTTCTACTCTTACTGGCAGTAGACTGGATTATGAAGACAGCAAATGCTAATACCAGGATGGAATTCAGTGGGCCACTATAAAACAGCTTGATGATCTAGACTCGATTATGATACTTCTCTTCTGTTCCATTCACGAAATCAAATGCAAGATACATTAAAAATTCTTGATGCGAGATCACAGAAGCTAGGTCTCAAAATCCATAAAGAAAAGACAATGACAATGAGAATAAATCAGACAAATAGTTATGTGATTTTTCTCGATTGTATCCCACTCCAAGACATGGAGTCGTACACTTGTTTAGGCAGTAATGTAGATAACAACATACAAAGACATGAAATGTGGAGTTCTTCATGAGGGAAAACTAAAAGATACATTTGCAATAAAAACAGGCAAATAGTAATGTGATTTCTCTTAATGGCATCCCACTCCAAGACATGGGGTTGTATACCTATTGAACCAATAATGTAGATAAAGATGGGAGAACTTATAGAGATAATAAATTGCGAAAACTAAAGGCAAGAGAAGTTATCATAGCACTAGGAAATTTGTGGAGGTCAAAAGAAATTAAAAGAAATACTAAACTTATAATGTCAAGTTCTAATGTCAAATCAAAAATGTTTAATAGATCGGAAACATGGAGAACAACTACGACAATTACTGATAAACTTCAAACATTTATCAACTGGTGCCTGCGCAGAACAGAGGGGATTACATGGTGGGGTAGAATCACTAATGTGGAGCTTTCGTAGAGAACTAAGCAAGCTAGTGGACTAAGAGGTGAGGAAAAGACACACACTGAGAAAACATGAGAACAATATAACTAGAATGTCTTTGTACTGGAACCCACAGGGGTTTAGGAATAAAGGAAGACTAAAAAACACATGTAAACGGGAGCTAGAGAGTGAAGTTTAGAAGATGAGGAGGACACGGGGAGAGATGCAGGCGATAGCCAAGGATAGAACGACTTGACGTTAGTTGGTTGAGGGCCTATGCTCCATTGGGGGTTATAAAGCAGAAGAAAGATAAAGTGAAAAATGAATTAAATAGAAATTTCCTATTAGAATAAATTAAGACACCTACTTAGCGAAGAAATAATTATAATGCCTTTAGTGTAAAACGAATTATAACGCTTACTTAGTATAAGTTGAATTAAAGTTCCTACTAAGTGTAGAATGAATTGGTATGCCTACTTTAGGTAAAATAAAGTATGAAGCAAGGAAAAAAAAAGAGATCTAATCTGACATCTGAAGTAAATGTGTCCCTTCTGTTATATTTCAGAGAAAAATAATACACCATTGCCACGTAAGTACTTATGAACATTATTATTCCTGTTAGCGTACATAACATGTCTACCTATGATGGTGTTCGCCACAAGCAGTATCTATGCTTTATGTACAGTTGTTCTGGTTTTAACGACGGTATAAAATACTAAAGTAAGTGAGGTTTAGAGTCAAATGTCCTTTTTCTTCTCTTTTTACAGTATCATCATCATTTGTGTCGTCGTCCTTATCCTTGGCAATACAGTCTTCTCTTGTATTTTCCTTTCTTATCTTCGTCCTCTCCTCTTGTTTCTCCGCCTACTTCGTTCAACTCACAGTAAAACATCCGTCATAATCTCAAATCTGTGTAAATTTAGTCAGGATTGTATAGATTTTGCGGATAGTTTTCTATATGATAAGGTAGCCAGACTTACACCAACCCTCAGTATAGGACTCTGGTGAACTGCTTTTTAGGCTACAGCGCTATAGTTTTGTTTTTTCTTTATCGGGTCCTAAAAACATTAGGGGGTTTCGAGCTTTTGTAAAGAATTACTTTCTACACCTCATTTTCTAGGTGCATACGGTCATAACTCAACTCAACTCATTGTAGGAATCTTCAACGTCGAATTTTATTTGCGTATAGTTATGAGGGTGATATAAAAATTAAAACCAGGATAATATGGAGCAAAACATTTAGAAGTATTATTGGCTTTGATAACATATTAACCCCCCCCCCCCCCCTTTTTTTCCCCCACCCACAGATAATGGTGTTTTCAAATATACAAGATTGTTTATTTTTTAAATGTTGAGGAAACCTCGAGGCTTCTTGTTTGGTTGTCAGGCATTGAGATCAGCGGTCAGAACGTGGTTCGGCTGGGACATGTACTTCAACTGACATGTGACGCCATTCTAGTGGACATGTCTGTGGATACCGTCACGTGGACTAAAGGTGAGCTCATCGTTAAAACGATCTTTTATTCATATGTATGTGATGCATGTCCGCGTCTGTGGCTTAGGCGTTGTGTACGAGCTCCTTAGTTCTGAAATGCCCAGTTCGATTCTATTTGTAGGAGATTTGGCAGCAGTTCAGTGTTGCCTTGATTTCGTGAGAAATATAGAGCGCCGACCGTTGACATGCAATGTTAAACTACTGGACGTAAAATTGTCTACAGTGCAGTTCAGAAGTCGTACCCTCAAACGTTAATAAATGTGTCAAAAACCCCTGCATGGATCAACACGAATTTTAGCATGTGGCCTTCATCATCATCATCATGTAGCAGGTCCTTTGCAGAACGTCGCTCTTTTCACAGTCTGTAAGAAACTCGGTCTCTCGCCAGTTCTCCTGCCTCATTAACTTTCACACTCAAGGAGTCACTTATATCCTGTGCCCATCTTCGTGTCGGTCGGCCCCTGCCCCTCCTTCCTCGTACCATGCCTTCTGCTATATTTTTTTTTTCCAATCCGTCGTGGCGCTTGATATGACCAAAATATTTCAGCTTTGTAGAAAGGATGCTGTTTATTAGCCAATCTTCCTTGATGTTCAGATATTTTAAGATGTCAATATTTCTCATCTTCTTTGTCCAAGATATTCTGAGAATCTTTCTATAGCATTTCAACTCAAAAGCCCCTATTCTCTTTCTTATGGACTGAGAGATAGTCCACGACTCACATCCGTATGTAGCCACAGGGAAGATGCATGCCCTCAAAATTTTAATTTGGATCTCCTTGCTGGTGCTTAACCATAGACTTTTAAGGCTGTTCAAACTTTGCATTGCTATCATCTTCCTTTTAATTTCTGTCGAACAGTCTCCATTGTTGTTTATTATAGAGCCTAGATATTCAAAGTTTGTGACATTTTCAATTTCTTATTCATTTATTGTTATTTTTGGGTGACAGCCAGTTTTATCTGTGGACATTATTTTTATCTTCTATAAATTCAAGAACAGATTTTGATCTTCACTGTGCTTTTGGACAGACAATATTAAATTTTCTATTCCCTTTACGCTGTTCGAAAGGAGGACTGTGTCATCTGCGTAGCAGAGTCCCGGAATAGGATTGACACCAATTTTGAGCGAATCATAACTGTCACAAGTCTGGTCATTTTTGACATTTCTCATTATATTTTCTGCGTATATATTGAATAGGTAGGGTGAGAGAATGCACCCCTGCCTCACCCCCTTTTGCACCTCGAACCAATCAGATGTTTCACCAGCTGCTCTGATGGCTGCTTGTTGTTCATGATAAAGATTTTCAATTAAATGCACTAAATGCACTGGAAACCTCATAATTTTCATAACAGTCCACAGTTGGTGGTGCTGGACACAATCAAATGCCTTGTTAAAATCAGTAAAACAAACATGAAGATCTACATTGTATTCTCTGCATTTTTCAAAAATTATTCTCATATTAAATATGTGATCCCTAGTTCCTCTACCCTGTCTGAAACCCGCTTGTGCTTCATCTAGTTCATATTGTAATTTCTTTTCAATCCTTTTCATGATAATTCGTCATAGGATTTTGCTAGCATGACTTATTAATGCGATGGTACGGTAGCTGGAGCATAGTTTTGGATTTCCTTTCTTTAGGAGAGGGATATAGACTGTTCTTTTCCACGCTTTAGGCCAAATGCCACTGTTCCAGATCTTCGAGCACAGTGCATGGTAGATTCGGACGCTGGCCTCTCCTCCTGCTTGAATTAGCTCTGCTGGTATTTCGTCGCAGCCTGGTGACTTTCCTTTCTTCAGGCTGTGTATTGCTGATCGTACCTCATTCAGTAAAGGCTCTGGTTCTCTTTCATAACTTTCACAAGTCGTTTTTGAATAACCTGTCACATCCGCATACATTTCTCTACAGTATTCTTTCCATCTTTCTAATATATCTTTGGTTTCCTTTAATGTGTTACCGTTTTTATCACTTATTACATGTAATGAAGGCCTGAATTCGCATTTCAATGTTTTAATTTCTTTAAACATGTCTCTGTCTCTTCCTTGCATCTGGAGTTGTTCAATTCTTTTACAGGTATTTATAATAAACTGTTTTTTTTTTTAATCTCTTCTGATAGCTCTTCTGATTTCTTTCGTGTAGTTCCTATATGCATGGCTATTTTTTTTTTCTGTCCCTTCTTGCTTTAAATTTCTTCTTTCTTCTATCAGCTTGAAAGTTTTTTCTGCAATGTAAATCTGTTTCTTGTATCGTTTTTTAGAAATCATGTTCTGAGCTGTTGTGGTGATGATGTTTCTTGTTTCGTCAGCCAACTCATCATGTGTCATATCTTCCTGCACTGCCATTAGTGCCTCAAATTTGTTTTCAACCTCAATGCTGTAATCATTTGGCAAATTACTCAAATCAAAACATATTGGCTTAGCCCCTTTCAACACTTTTTTCAGTTTTATTTTAAACTCTGCAACAAGAAGTTTGTGATCAGTGTCACAGTCAGCTCCAGGGAGTGTCTTTGCAGACGTTATACATGTCCTCCATTTTTGTTGTATTAAAATGTAATCAATTTTGTTCCTGCTATTTCCATCTGGTGATGTCCAGGTGTAGAGCCTTCTTAGGTGTTGTTTAAATAGTGTGTTGGTAAGACACATATTCTTTTTTAACGTTCCCCATATTCGTATGATTTTATAATCTACAGCTGCACATCGGCTGAAGTTTTCTTAAAGCAGCCAATTTCTTTTCTCTGAATGACTAATAACTTGTGTACCAAAATATTAAGCAGTAATTAACGCATGCGTTGAGATTGTTTAGAAATGTATTCACATGTGCCAGGATGCGATTAATCTGATACCATATATTTAATTGATATGCCCGGAATTGTGGGCATAATATAAAAAAAAATTACGTTATGCTGATGACACAGTCTTGATAGCAACAAGTGAGCAAGAACTACAGGAAATGATAGACATTTGGTTGTTAGAAAGTGGAAGAATAGGCCTCAGTGTGAAAAAGGGGAAGACAGAACTAAATGTGGTATCAAAGAACATAATTATACCTAAATATGTTATAAAAGTCAATTGTGTTATTTTGGGAGAATACAGAAATGTACGTGTCTAGGCACATGGATAACATCAGATGGAAGATGCATTACTGAGATAACAAACAGAATAGGACATGCACAAACTGCATTTTATAAAATGAGGAACATCTTATGCATTATATCTATGTCACTGAAGGTTAGAAACATAATTTTTGCTTGTTACATAGATTCAGTTTTGACATATGGCTGTGAGCCCTGTACAGCCAGAAGGCAGGCCAAACAATATCTTGAGGCCTCAGAGATGTGGTTTTACAGAAGAATGATTAAAGTACATGGACAGCCAAAAAGAGCAACCAAGAGGTTTTGAAAGAGGCGGGAGCCCGAAGACAACTTGTACCAGACATCAGAAGGAGACAGTCATCATTTTGCGGCCATGTTCTGAGAAGAGAGAAAATGGAACATGCTGTAACCAGTGAAAAAATCTGTGAAAGGAAGACAACGAGAGAAGATGCTTGACAGTCTTGTTGCATGGCGTGGAGGTGTGTCGGCACACGAACTGATACATACAGCAGGAGATCGCGGGTTGTTGAGAGGCATGATCGCCCAAGAAAGTCGGCAAGGCACCGCATGATAAAATATGTATGTATGTATGTATTAAAGGTTTATATTGCAAGCACTGAAGTTTTAGGGTTGTCGTATTTCAGATGGAGTATCCCTTCCTAGAAGTCAGGATGACAGGTGTCGAGTGCACACCTCCCTCACGATGAATGGGCAGAACGTGGCAATTGTGGTCAGCAAACTGGAGATCAGGGACACCCGACACGATGATGCGGGTGTTTATGTTTGTCGCACATCGGAGAAGGTTCAGATGGCAGGGGTTAAAGTAGACGTTCAAGGTCCGTCCTGTGTTGATTGTCTTATTTTCCATGATGCATTGTTGAGCACTCTAAGGTGTGTTTTTAATGTTTTTTACTTGTATGGTTGTGTTCTCAGAAATGACTTATCCCGGGAACCTGATGTTTTGCATTGGCTAATATTGAAGCACATTTTTTTTTTTTTTTTACATAAATAATACTTAGATGCCCATTTGTAAACAAACGTTTACTTTCTTATGTTCATCAACTGTGTAATTTTAATAATTATTAGGACAAATGTTACAGTAACGGCATCAGTTGCCTACAGCATTATCCTAACCACATAAGTTCCTTCTTTGCAACGTCGATTGCCTACATTTCAACTTTGTGTTGTAATACTCTTAAAAGGTAATTCAGCAAGGATTACTGTATATTTATATACTTTGAAAAAGCAAAATTGACTTCTAAATACTTGTTAAAGGGGGTAATCTGACATAACTTTAAGAATATAGTTTAATCCATTTATATTTCACTACATCTGAGATATAAATTTTTAAATATCAGCACCAATTTCTAAACACACTATAGACTTTTATCACAGCTATCTGAGTCCAGATCTATGTAGAACTTTAACTAATGTTTGCCTCGCGCTCCGAAGGTCATGGGTTCGTTTCACGGACTCCTCGTTCTTAACACATGCGCCTTTGCTAGAGAAATCCCTGGGGACTGTCGCTGGAGCTACAAAAACCGTACTAGCCGTTCTGTAGAAAAAGTAACAGAGGAGAAAGAAAGAAAGAAAGAAAGAAAGAAAGAAAGAAAGAAAGAAAGAAAGAAAGAAAGAAAGAAAGAAAGAAAGAAAGAAAGAAAGAAAGAAAGAAAGAAAGAAAGAAAGAAAGAAAGAAAGAAAGAAAGAAAGAAAGAAAGAAAGAAAGAAAGAAAGAAAGAGAGGGGGAGGGGGCAGGCAGAGAACAAACCAGATGTGGTTCCATTGCGACAAAGTCAATTCTCTCGATTTGTAACTGTTTTTTGTAGTGACTGAGAAGTTTTTGCAATAATTTTTCATACCAGCCCTTGTCCGTATGCTGGCATTTCCATCTAGACTCTAGAAGTAATTTTAATATTGTTTCAATTCCCAGGTCGATACCCCCCCCCCCTCCCCAACCTCACTCCCAATCCGAAAACGAGTGCAGGGAAATTTATGGGGGAAGCAAATGCAACTTGTGTGATAGCGGGCTCATAATTAATCACCAGAGAGCCTATTGGTTTGAACAGGGGCACCGATACAAAAATAGCATTTGGATAGGGCTGGGGAAGGCGCTTCTTTACATATTTCTTAGAGAGCAGGGGATTGCATGAAGTTAAGCCATGTTTAAGTGTGTAATAATAATGATATTATTAATTATAACAGTGCGCTTAAAGACAAGCGAATGTAATAATATATTAAAAATATATGCAGTGTATTTACATATACTCAGACAAAGAACTTATGTACATTTGGGGGAGAGGGGAGGGAGTGTTGATCTTTCTCACGCATTACGCTTTATATTGTATTTTTCGCGCCTTTGGTGCCTTTAGGGCTCATTGGGACACAGATTAAGAACCCCTGATCTGGGGGTATGAGCTTGTGGATACAACATTTCTTGTGCAGCCAAAATAAGTCAGCTAAATGTGAAAATGTATTCCATAGTCACGATAGGTAATCGTAGAATGATCCAAGCCGCTAGTAGAAAACAACTTTTTAATCCCTTAAACCAAAGTTGTCCGAGCAACGTCTGCCTGTGCTAGTACCAACTGTCAATGTCTGTCGGATAAACGTCTGGCCGTGGCCTCGAGGTATAGTGTCTGCCTCGAGTGCTAGAGGTTCCGGATTTAATAAGGGCTGGAATTGGGCTTCTAGTCATCCCCCTGGTCTCTGTTTAGTGAGATCGGATGCCCGTGTGTATTGTTGCGCACCTAAAAAATCCCTTGGTAGTTGGAAATCGAAAAGAGTATTCTAACAGGGCAAAATTCGGAGTTAAAAATCTACACAAAGTATTTCAGGATCCTCGTTGGTGCTACAGAGCCTGTGCACTGTGCTGAGTTTCTTTAGACAGACTTGAGCTTGAAGAAGAACGCAGCACTTATCGGTTACTACCCCTGTGCCATGATGTTGATCTGTTGTTCAGACCTTCAAACCTTCGATGAACCAACCATCCATTTATTCCTCTGGTCGTGCATGTAGGCGCCTAATTTGCTACCGCAGCGACGATGTATTACCGTATTCTCAGTACTTGTTGCCATTACCATAAATTGTTGTCCGATTGTCTGTTAAACGCAGCAGATCTCAGAGGCCAGGAAGTCATGACCCGCCCCCGCCCACCTTCCGAGATTGTCTAGAGCCTAGGGGATAAACGGGTCGAAACTATTGTTGATCCAGGACCACCTACTGAGGATCGGTAGGCTCCTGCGATGCATGCTCCCATTCTGTGGTTTTACTTTTTCTCGAAATGTGAAACTGTCACAATTCTTCCTAATTTATTCTTTCCTTTTTCTCCTTTTCCTCCTCCTCCTCTTCCTTTTTTAACAATTCATCTTTTTTTCAGTCGATTATATTCCCAGCTGAAGCATAGGCCATCTCATGCCAAGTTGTTCTGTTTTTTTTTTTTTTTTTTTGTTGTTGCTATGGCATTTAAAAGAACTTCTTTTCAGCTCCATTTTGCGTGTGCTTTTTGGTATGCCTTTGTTTCTATGTGGTTTACAGTGTAAAGACATTCTATCTATACTGTTCTTATGTTTTCTCATCTGGTGTCCTCTCCAAAGATTGCCTCTTTTCTGCGCCTCCTGATTGACTGGCAATTGTTAAGTTCTCTCCCAAAGCTCCACATCAGTGTGATTATATCATATCATTTGATACCCTTTATTAGTGTTTAGTCAATGGTTGAAGAATATTCGTCGAATTGTTTTAGATGTTCTCTGTGTTTCTGCTCCACACAAGAGTACTGATTTTTACATTAGAGCCAACAAATTTAAGTTTACTACTAACTTTAATTTCCTTTAACTTCCGAATATTTCCTAGTGCCATGAAATTACATCTTGTCTTTTGTAACTGAAAATGTGTGTAGTATGTCGCTGTTTGTGAGTCGTGGACTGTCTTTCAGTCTTTAAGAAAGAGAATAGGGGCTTTTGAGCTAAAATGCTATAGAAAGATTATCAGAGTATCTTGGACAAAGAAGAGGAGAAATATTTACATCTTAAAAGATCTGAACATCAAGGAAGATTGGCTAATAAACAGCATCATTTCTCGGAAGCTTAAATATTTCAAGCGCCACAACGGATTAGAAAAATAATAGCAGAAGGCATGGTAACAGGAAGGAGGGGCAGGGGCCGACCGACACGAAGATGGGCACAGGATATAAGTGACTCCTTGAGTATGAAAATACATGAGGCGGGAGAACTGGCGAGAGACCGAGTTTCTTTCAGGCAGACTGTGATGAGAGCGACGTTCTGCAAAGGACCAGCTACATGATGATGATGATATCGCTGAAAGCGAAAAATAGTCACTATAAAAATTTGAAGTTTTTTAATGTGAACGTTTCTTGGACAGCACAAATAAGCAAAAAAATGGTTTGTACGCGATTACAGCAATCACAAACATTAACCATCATGTTCTTAAAAAGGTAAACATCGTGCTTTTTTTTTTAACCTAGAAAGCTTCATTAAAAATGAACGGCAGGGCTACAGCATACCATCTAATACATTTTATCGAGGATTGTAAAGAGTGGAAAAGCACAACGGAAGATGCTAAAATGTCTTTGGTCATAGCATGGAAAGGTTACAGTTTAGGAAAGGATGCATGCTAATTCTAGCAAGTGGAGAAACTAGATCGTTCACTTGAGACAAATGTAAAGTTCGCCATTGGTGTAAAACATGATACTTTGCTTTTATTATCAAATATAAAATTTATTAAAAGGTTTTCAAACATTTTTATTGCACAGGTACACACCATCTAAAAAGAGGTTAGTATATCGCGCCAACTGGTTAGTATACAACAGGGCTATAAATAGTTACTACAAAGTTTACGTTTTATGTGCATTTTCCAAACCTTGTCCTTCGACACCAGACTGCAGCCTACCTTGCCTAATAAAAAATAAATTTAACCATCCTGCAATGCTTAGCAGAGAACGAAGAAAGATTTTGTCAGACTGCACTTTCCAAACCACAGTAATCTATATATAATACATTATTCAGATTATGCCAAACATATTCTCGCCTGAGGATCAGAAGGTAATGAGTTCGGGTCCTGGTGGAGCCGGACTAAGGGCTAGCAGGACGTTTTTTCAAGAAAAACCTAGCTTTCCGGGTCAACCTAGCTTTGAGAAGTGTACTAGGTATAATTCTGGGAAGTAACGGTTGCCGGTGTTATGTTAACCGCATCATCCACCGAGTGTCGACTGGCTTATAAAATATACGTCTAGCCAATACGCCTGGAGACCTGGAGAAAGGTTCTTTATGCCAAGAAGAGGTGGAGAGATCATGCAGCCCTGTCTACTCTTTAAACCATTCTGATGTTTCACCATGTGCTCTAGTAACACATCGGACAAGTCTTAACTACAGACACTGCTGTTTGTTGTTGACGGTAACAAGATTCCATGGGTGTACCAAATATGCTGGGAATATACTTAACATCTAAAAAAAAAAAAAAAAACACACATATTTCAAACTTGTTGGTGGATACTTTATGAAAGCAGATTTTGTAATAAAATGGCTGATGTTCCAGCCCCAACTCAGTATCTAACACAAGCATCACAGTTATTGTAAAATCAGTTGTTAACTTGTTAGTTAAGATTGTTTTATCTGTGTTTTTCTTGCCAAAACTAAATAGAAAAACACACAACGGTAAATTTTCATACAAAGCTATTGCATAGCTGCTTGGGGAACAGCAACTTAATCAAATTTTCAGAAAGTATCAAAGATTCAAACTATGCTCTCTGCATTATGCTAGGGGTCATGCGTTTCACCTCCCATATCAGACATGGAAACAATTACTGGTCTCTAATTTCTTGGAGACAGGTGAGACGCAAAGCTTCTCACCCAGCTCTCCAAATACCACCACTTAAAAGAACCCACACACACCGACTGCAGACACTCCAGATGGCTAGACTAAAAAGAACATGTTTCATCAGCAACGAAAATGCCAAGCTCGCCTACCTCAAACTTCCTCCAGCAGTACCAAATGTTC